TAATTATTTTTAAATATATTTTATATTTTTTTATTTAAAAAATCACTGACATAATATCTTTTATTTTTAATTAAAGTAAATTTTATCAATAATCTTTTTTAAATGTAAGTTTTTTTGGTGTATTTGTTTTATTTTATATAATGTAACTACTTTTTTGGTTCAAAAATTGTTTAGGGATTTTATCGTTCAAAATATGAATGTTTATTAGTTTTTTTCATGTTTTTTCCATTATTTTACTACGTTAATTAGTTTTATAGGTCATAAGAATGTATATAAAAAGTTTTCGAAAGTCCAAGGAGTTGTTTAACAGGTTTTAAAATATCCAAAGACTTATTTGTTCAAAAAAATTGTCTAAGGACTTAATCATTCCAAACACTAGAGTCCATTGGGTTTTTTTAAACTTTTCCCTTATTTTTATTTGTAACAAATTTTAGAAAAGAAAATTTAAATAAAAAATTAAAAGTCGAAATCTTCAAAAATAATTACATTTATTACCAATAGATTTTTTATTTTAGATAATTTAATCTTGATTATAATATTATAATATTTTATTCATGTAATATTATTTATTTATCTAAATATTTGTTTTCAAAGTTTTTTATTGATGGTCTTAATTGGTAATCATTTTTGAGGTGTTCTTCATATTTAGAGAAAAAAAACTTATCCCTCATACTTTCTTCATTTTGAAGATAATTATGTTGGAGCAAAATATTGGCTCAAAATCTTCGTTTTCTCCTTTTGAAAAAATTGTTGAAGATGCTCTTATATGTAATGACTCATGTTCAAGGAAAAAACCGTAAAAAATGAAAATTGAGGAACATTCTGATAATTGTTCGTCTTGATGGCGTGCATATATGCATACAAATAATTTGTAAGCAATTTGTCTGATATGCACATGTGCATAACATGCAAACGTGCATAAAAATCAAGAAACAATTTCAAATGCACATGTTGCATATCATGCAGATGAATGATTTACCGGTTGTTTCTCAATATTTTTTTTAGGGTTTTTTCCTGAACCTCTATCTATATTTAATAGTTATGAAATCATAAACTAATAATTATAATTCATATTTGATGGAGATGGTTTTAATTATTGGTGCATGTTGAAGATGATATGAAACACCAAGAATATGAAAAAGATGAGTTTTCAATCAATCTGCTTTCACTAGGAGAATAAGCATCAATGTAGACTTTGAAAATGAGTTTCAAAATTATCACAAATTCTATTTAATATCTATAAATCATAAAATGTTGTGTTTTTAGTTGGTTAACATTTTTTATCATTCAAAATTTTATAATTTTACTACTTATTATATATATATAGGGTATATTTCAAATGCAACCATGTTCATTTGTACAATCAATTCAACTCAATCAATTGAAATATTTATGAAAATAATGAGAGTTCATTTATTATGATTTGAATATTTATAAAAGATAACTAGAGTTCATTAATTATGATCAATATTTTATATTAGGAAACAATCAAAACGCTTATGAAATCATATATTCATCAAATTAAATGGACGGTTGAGATTGAGTTGTATTGGTTGTTCAAATGTAAAAGATTGCATAATAACTCATATACAAATCCTCTAATTAGTATAAACCATAAAAATCAATAATATGAAATATTTATGAAAACAATGACATTTTATTTATTATGATCTGAATATTTATAGAAGATAATCAAATATCATTGATTTTGATTGACACTTTAGATCCGGAAAGAATCAAGATATTTATGAAGTCAGTTATTCATCAGATTAGATGTATGGTTAAGATTGGATGTTTTATGATCTGTATTAATTATAAGATTTGTATCTAAAACTCTTTCTAAATGTGTATATACAATTTAGTTAAGGTACTTATACATCCTTTAAGAATATCGAATATTATATATTTATTAAAAAAATCACTTACAACTAAAGAAAGAAAACTGATAAGATGCATCGAAATTTCCATATAGAATTCGCATATATGCTTGGGTCACTTTGGGAATGAATTCTCAGAACGAATTGATTCTAAAAACAATGTTAAATTCTCAATTATACGTAACTAGATAACAGTAGAGATATTTTATCACCTGTATAGTATGATTTAGAGTCATAACTACCAATCTATATACTAGAGTTTTAACCATTATCGTAGCGTAAAAAATTTAAATCATGTAGCTTAATATTGAACGAACAAAAAATTTATCTGATTTAATAAATAAATACAGATAAAGTATTTTTATGAGCCGTTTGAGGAAAATGGCGATGGCCGCTATTTTGTATATACGTTTACAACTGTTTCTAATATGGTAAATTGGAGATGGGATGTTTGTTGCTTGTCTTGTGTAAAAAGGATATCAATACAAAATCGGTTTATAGTTTGCATAGGAAAAGCTACGTTTCATTTTCTTATAGATCGGTTTAAAAACGAATATTATATAACCTTATGAAAAATCATACAGAAAAGATATAAGAAATATGTGTTAATCATGGCCAAATCTTAGAAAGATGTGAGTTGGAACATAGATATAAGTTAAGCTATTTTTATGAAATATATTTAGGTATATAATATTAAATGAGATTTTAATTAAATTATTGATCTAATAAATGAGTATAAAACAATTTTCTTTTTAATTAGCTTGGTTGATCAATGCTTTAATTAAAATTCATTTATGGGATGTTTGGTCTATGTAATGGAATTTGGTGAAATTAGAATTCGTCAAAGAAATTTGACTTTGAAGAAATTGAAATGAAATTTGACCATGTGTTTGATTGGTGGGAATTGGAACTTCATCTTTGTTTGGAC